GAATAGGATGCCAATATCGAAGATTATTTACTATAGCAAATAATCACGTCAGGATAAATATTATATAGAAATGATAAATATTATATAGAAATCTTGGGAGTGTAAGGGATTATAAGAGTGCTTTTAGATATTATACTGAAAATATATGCTCTTCTGCTAAAATCTGAAGTGAATCAGTATGAAGTGACTTTTCACTTTAAAAAGAATGTGATAAGTATACTATTTAAAAGTATAATGATGTGATATTAAGAAATTTGTAGAATTTTATGGTATTTAAATATGAATTTGTTAATTTCAAATCTTTTTATATATATTTTTGCTTGAGATATGTAATTTAAACTGAAAATCACGATCATATATTTTTGATGGAATGTCAAAGTTCATTGGTATTAAAAAAAGTGCATGGGCAATGAAAATAAATAGGAATTAATACTTTTTGATTATGTTTCTACCATGGGTTTAGCAGTTATGCCATCATGTGTTCTGTTCAACAAGATTTATTTAGTGCAAACAATACTACGAAAAAATATTGAAAAATACCTTGCTTTACAATATTTATTTCCCTTAATTAACTTAAATATCGTTTTTCATTTTCTAATGCTTTCCTTTACGAAAAGAATTTAATGTTTACAATTATTTTCAGCATTCGTACGAATTCTGTGCATAAAATAAACATTTTTTTTAACAAAATACTTAATCGGAAAGTATATACCCGGTATTTCCGGTATATCTACCACATATAAAATGATCATTTTGCTTTAGTTTACATTTTTTCCATTACCAAAATCATGTAGCAGACGCGTCGGCCGATGCGTCTTGTCTCCCGGGTGACGTCACTACCAGCAACCAATGGCACGCTTTTTCCGTTCCTGGCCTAACCTTAGTATATTAAAGAACCTTGCTTTGAACCCAGAGTCACGTGATCGCACATCTGGTCGAACGAAGTCTCTCCCTTTTTTTTTCTGCCGCGCCTACTTGCCGAAAAGAATCCAGAAGAGAATGTCCGAGAACCGGGGGAATGAGTCATAACTCGCAATAAGGAAAGAACAAAAAAGAAGTTTTTTCCCCCCTTTTCACGCATTATTACTGCCTTTAAAGAAAGAAAGGAAAAGTTTTCACCACACACACTGACCTTGCGTTTTCTGCTTTCAAAGCAAACAAAATTACCCAGATCAAAATAAATAATTCATTATTATTCCTACTTCCTTTTGAACGACGATACCCGGAATTTCCGGGGATCGAAGTTCAAAATTCCCGGAATTCTGGGGTTTTCCCGGAGCACAAACACCCCTGTTATTATGTACAGAGACCCTCCCTATACTAAATAACTTGAGAGAAGGCCTTTCTCATAGCCTTACTTTATACAGGGATGCTCTCTAGACAAAAAAACTGAAGAGGAGGCCTTTCCAAGGAAAACTGTATCATAAACGTATTACACATACGGCAAATAACAAAGACAAACCATGCTGCCAATTTAAATTTGTAAAAACTATTTTTTACTTGCATTGTTCAAATATACAGACTGGAATCAAATTTCTGAACTAGCAAGAATACAAAGAATTACATGGAAATTTATACCACTATCTGCACCATGGTGAGGTTGAGCATATTGAAAATTAATAAGTATGCTGAAAAGCATAAGCATATTGTAAAGAATTTTATGAAAGGTTTTAACCCTCTAATGCCCATGGTAGCATATTTGCTACCATATATTAAATACCACGTTTTTATACCAGGAACACCATGAAATGTAATTTTTATGTCATAAATTTATAGATCGAACCTTTCTCATGTATTATTAGCAAATTTTAGGCACAGATAGCGGCACCAGCTTAAAGGAAAAAAATTAGAAGAAGCATGGATGCAGCAAACAATGCAAGCACCTTTTCAGACGTAAGGTGTTTGTTTATTTTACAAACATTTTATTAATAAAACAGTTCATAATTAGTATTTATATAAAGTAAAACAGTAAGTGCATCACACAGTATAAAATAACTTTTTATACTACAAAATTATCGTTTTTAATGCTAAAATGTATTTTTAAAATCATGGTAGCAAATCTGTTACCATGGGCATTCGTGTATCTAAGCCTAGCAGTTCTCTAAAGAAAATATGTTTTTATATTGAAATTACTTCATGATCTTTAATCTTTGTAATTTTAGAGATAATAAATATATCCTTAAATACAATTTATGAATTTAAATTTTATTAGTTTAAATTTTGATATTTTTCAATTAAAAATATTTTAAGATATATTTTTCCTGTAAAAAAGTCTCTAGGAAAATTCATTTTGAGATTTAAGTTGAAAAATAAATTTAATCCTCTGTTAAATCTCAAGTTCTTTTTAATATATTTGTACTTTACTTATTGAATGAAATTTTAAAAAATAAATTAATCAAGTTTAATAATAATTTAATAAAATTTTCAGAATAATTTGAATAAAATTTTGAATTTTTTTTCAGCTTTGCACTTCAGGTCCCTTTTTCCACAGAGTAAGAGGTAGAAATGTGTTTAAAAAACTAGAAGATGCCATAGCATATATGAATGATTTGGAAAGTGATTTATCCGATATATCTGATGACAACTCTGATGATGAATATATACCTACACGAGCATCTGATATCTTCCATGAAGGAAACTCAGATAAAGAACAAGATCATAATGAAGATGTGGAAAATGTCCCAAATGCATCAAATATTGAAGAAAGTGTCTATCTACATAAGAACTATAAAAATTTTTTATTTTCTGGAGGAAAAAAGAACCTAATCTTATGCCTTCATCAAATTATGGTACATTTCCTGATTCTACAGAACCTCTTCCATCTGCTCTTGCATATTTTCAGATTGTCATATAAACAGATATGATAAAATTAGTATTTAAACAAACAAATCTGTATAGAGGTCAACAAACAGGAACTTCTCTTATGGTGACGGCAAATGAAATAGAGTAAGTAATATGAATGGACCGTGTACCTTATATTAGAGGATATTGAGAAGAGGGAATAAAGTATGAACCAATTGCAGAAGTGATGGCTAGAAACAGATTTGAAAAAAATCTTAAGATTTTTGCATATTGCGGATAATTTGCAAATTGATGATGATGTTAGAAGTGACAAATGCTGGAAAGTGCGACCGTCGTTGTCTAGACTTTGAGAAAACATGTTATCTGTTCCAGGTGAGACCAAGCAGTCTATTAATGAAATAACGATTTCATTTCGTGGGACAATCCATATCAAACAATATATGCCTATAAAACCTCATAGCAAATGGGGTTTAAAAATGTGTGTACAATCAGGCATTTGTTACAATTTTGATGTTGACTGGAAAATCTGAAGGTTGCTATTGAGATCAAACTGCCTATGCATTAGGTCTAGGAGCAGGTGTTGTGATGTGGTTATGCAGCACTCTAAGTAACACAACAAAAACTACTTACTATCTTTGCGAATAACGTTTATATAACGTAATATATATAATGTAATATGGCGAATAACGTAATATGGCAAAGATGCCACATATGACCTAGAGGAATATTTACTCAAGTTAAATGTGACAAATGTGAAAAATATCTTTGTTTTAACAAGGACAGAAACTGTTTTAGATCTTATCATTTGTAAATAACTGTACATAAACTAAACAAAATCTAAAAAAAAAAAAAAAGTGTTTGAAAATTTTGAAAATCACTTGATTTGTACCCTAATCTGCCCATGGTAACATATTTGCTACCATTAAAAAATATTTTTTTTCACAATTTTTTCCATGTTTGTTTTATTTAACCTAAAATAACACTCTTTTAACTAACAAATAATTTTTTGTTTGGAAATTTCTTGTGGTGAGCATTAGAGGTTTAATATGCTCATCACTTGACCTTGAAAAAATTATGATCATCCTATATGACTCTGAAGCTATTATGAATAGCTGACCATTAATTTACATTTCAGATGGTTAAAATAGGTGTACCAGATTTTGATCCCACAGACTCAAACATTTTCAAACAGAAGACTGATCTAACAGGAAAGACATCTGCAGAACCCACACAAAATATTTTAAAATTAATATCTTGGACATTTACCCCTATATGAAAAATGGCCAACCAATAAAAGAAGGATATATCATTTTGGTCTCCAATGACAGCTGGAACAACTGGTTGATGGGAAAAAAAGATTCAAGTTTTTAAATCAAGTTGGACATATTCATTTAATAAACGTCAAAACGAAATTGAACAAACATTTACAAGAATATGTTCCTTGGAGATAAACTCCATCCAAGAAACTGCTAATTCAAAATGGAAATTAGCAACTTTCTCCAATCAATAACCCAACCTGTTATTCTACTACCTCCAATAACTCTCTGATACTCAAAATGACTAAATCAGGTTAAAAAATTAGGCCAGCACAGAAATTTTAATTTTAAAATCTGAAAATGCAAATGTGGAAGTATGTTAACCCTTTCCAATAAGATTTAATAATGAAACATTTCACATGAAATTTCATTTTTATTGAAGACCTCTGGAAAGTTCTGTTTCAAAGAATATGGTAACCCCCTATTGTTATCATATTCAATAGTAAGTTTTATCACATGCTGAGTATAACTGGTCATCAAATTTTTATGCTATACCATACAATGATGAACTACACTCATCATATGACTAAAGTTATTGTTGAATATGATAATAATAGAGAGGTTACCATATTCCTTAAATCAATGTTTTGGGATGAGAAAGTGCATCAAAATGCTGCAATTTAGCAAAAGAAATATAACATACTGCTCATAGCTTTAGATGATGTATGTCATTGTGTAACTTCTCATTTCAAAATTGGTTTCGAGTCATACGGTTACTCCTCTATTATTCTCCATATTTAACAATAATTTTAGTCATATGATGAGTATTACTCATTACTGTATAATATGCCATGAAAACCCAGTGATGAATTATATTTGTCATTGGTGGTAAACAAGGGCTTAAAAACTGCTATGTTTTCCAACTCTGACAGTACTGCCTACTGAACGAAAAAAAAAAACTGAGTTGTATTTTGGAAGCAATCAAATACAGACAATTCAAATATTGTGTAAAAGTGATTTAAATAAAAGGCTTGGTGCTATTTTTTCTTCTTTTCTTTTTGTACTCAAGAATATATCTGTTTATTTGATCCAAATTGATGTCTAATGGCTTTAAACTGGAAAACTGCAATACTGCTGTGTTGTTCTGGGTATTTATTGCCATGGCAATACTTCCCAGACATTCAAAGTAGAAAACCTAAGCAGTGTAAAAACATGAATATTTTTCCTCTGACGGAAGGATATGAATACAAGAGAATACGGTGCCTCACATATGTATGCTCGAACACTGACTGGAGCCGGTGAGAAGGAATGCTGGTCAAGGAGCAGGGGGCAGGGCCTAGTCGGAGTTATCTAATCAGCGTTGCTGTTTGTAAAGTAGTAAAGTCCAATTTCGCTTTTTTTTTATTATTTTTTAATTTTTTTTTTTTTTTTTATAATTTCTGCAATTGCTGAGTTCATTACGCATATTGTCCATCAAAATAATCGGAAAATTATGGGTGGTATGAGGAAAATGATGTAAAAATCACAGCATTAATTCCCAAGTAAACGCAGGTGAAAATTCTATAATCGTTTGCTGCTGGCTGTTGCTCACTGATGATTGGTTGAAATTCTAAGGCGTCAGTATTTCCGAAGAGAGAACGTAAACATCATGTATATGATCATGTTATTGTAAATTTAAATTAAATATTAAGCTTGCCTGATTAAATATGAAGCGTAGGGACGAATAAACTAATCTTCTAAGATGATTTCGTATTTCGGAATCTGGGCAAAGTTTGCGGTCTTGCTCGTCACAGCTTTCTGGAAGAAGTTCGAGTTGAGTTTATGTAAAAAGTCTTTCATATATTCAATCTTGAGATCCCAGTCTAGATTTTCATTTCTAATGAAATAAGGGATGTTTGTAACAGTCCTTAGAAATTTATTTTGAATAACCTGTAACTTGTGGATGTCTTCTTTGTTTGCACTGACCCAGGTTGGAGCACCATAAGTTATAATTGGCCTAATGATGGCTGTGTATATCCATCTGTTGCGAGTGAGGCTGAGGACTGAGTCTTTTGCGAGTAACGGATACAGTCTTTTTACTATACTATAGGCTTTTCCACACACATAACTTATATGGTTAGACAAAGTAAAACTCCTGTTGAAAATAATGCTGAGATATTTGGCCTTCGTTATGATGGGAAATGACTTCCCAAACATAGTGATTTTACAGCTAAGCTGATCTTTAGTTTTGTATTTCTGGATAACTAAAACTTGAGATTTCTCAGGATTTATCTTTTACCTTCCATCTCTTGCACCATTCTTCTATTTCTGGAACTGCTTGCTGAAATTTCTCTACAGCGTGTTTGGGGCGTCTTGATTTGGAGACGATCGCGGTGTCACCCGCGTAACATGCTAAGATGGTGTTTGTTTTATCTTAAATATGGTCTCCTTGTTTTACTGAAAACGTTCTGTCTTTAAGATAGGATATGAGCATAAGAGTGATTTCCCGAGGAAGATTAATGTGCACAAGCTTGTAGATTAAACACTTATGCCAAACGCGGTCGAAGGCCTTTGCCACGTCTAGCATAAGGGTGCCCACACTGTTTTTCTTGTGGATTGCCGCTCCAATGTATTCTGTAATCCTGATTAGTAATTGATGAGTGGTTGATAGACCTTTACGGAAGCCATGCTGCTTGTCTGCAATGGTGTCGGCTTGCTGTTGAAGTCTGTTAAGCCTTTCAAGAATATTCCCTAAAATAGATAAGAGACTAATCGGTCTATAACTTGCAGGTTCTTCTGGGGGTTTGCCAGGTTTCTGGATAAGGAAAATGCTGGCGTGTTTCCATGCTGTAGGAAAGTAGGAGCGTGAGAGACAGGTGTTGTAAATACTAGTTAATTTGGTGATCAGGCAATGCGGCAGATATTTAAGCATTTTGTTGGTTATCTTGTCTACTCCTGAAGCCACGTTTGCATGCTTGATAATATCCTTAACTTCCTGAAGAGTAATGAGTTGAATAATGTTACGTGGAGAAGGTGTGTCGAGCCAACGTTGCACCTCATAATCAATTACTGACTCATTACCAATTGAAATTTCGTTTTGCACGAACTGTGTGCTGAAATGTTTAGTGAAGGTATCAGATTTCTCCTGATTGTAATAGGCAAAACCGTTCTCTGTTTTAATTGGACGAGGGTGATAAAAGTCCTTCTTGAGGTTTTGAGTGAATTTCCAAAAAGAGCCGTCCTCCAAATTTAGATTATAAATTTTGTTGTTCCATAGTTCTTTTCGATGCTCACTGATAAGGCTTTTAATTTGACGTGTGAGCCTGTTAATGATCGTTTTTGTAGCCGGGTTCCAGTCTCTGCTATATTGTTTTCTGTGTCTTTCAGCAGTTACTGTTCTTATGTTAGCAGGCAAGGTGCCGTCCGCCTGATTTGTGTTGACAGTAGAGGTAGCCTTTTGTAGGAAGTCCTGTAACTGAGAAGTAAAATTTTGGATTGCTTTGTCAATGTCGGTCTCGGATCAGAGCGAGCCTATGTTGAAGGGTGAAGTGAGGACAATGTTTTAGAACAGATCCCAGTCCATTGATGTTTGCTGCTTAGTTTTAGTCTGCTGAATCCTAGCCGAGCAATCACTGGAATGTGATCAGATGATAAATCAGTAACTGGAAAACTACTCTGCCATATATTTAGATCCAAACCATCTACCACATGGTAAGACTCATTTAATTACTTTTAGTAGTCTCAACAGTGAGTGAATATGCATGCATATCTACATCTTTTGTGTAATGCTGCCCAGAAAGCGGTTAGTGACTGACTGCCATACCAAAAGGGGCTAGTTTTGAATCCCAGACAAGGCATGGACTCTGTTCCTTCATTGGTGGCAACGATGGTCCACCCATTAGATGCTTCCATAATAAAGTGACCACTGCTTCCAGGATTAATGGTGGCCAATGCCTACAATGGCTAGTGCCCACCTCTGGAAATTAAAATAAATAACATAAATCTTCTGTAACATACTACAATTACTAGAAGACCATATAATTTCTTTTTATAATTTAACCCCTTAACTGCCGCGGGCGTATATATATACGCCTTGCTCAGCCGATGCGTTAATTGCCCCAGATGCGCAGCCGATGCGTTAACTTTGCGAATAATTTTAGGTGTAGTAGCGCAAAGCAAATGATAGCAGTTTGGAAGGACGTATATATACGCCTGGGGCAGTTAACGCATCGGCTGAGCAAGGCATATATATATACGCCCGCGGCAGTTAAAGGGTTAAGAAATCCCAAAGGCTCATAATTAAGAAACTGAAATGAAAGAATAGTTGAGAAGCTAATAAATATGGGAAATTAAAGCAAACAGAACAATATGGAACAAGAAATATCTAGATTTTTACATGCTTGCGACAGAGAACACCATTATTGTAAAAGACATTATTCTATTAATTTGATTTGTTTTAGTTGTTCCTAAAATTTTATAACACAGAAAACTTCATATCTCATTTATTGCAAATACTATTCACACTCGAAACATAGCGATTCAAGGACTGACATCATAAGATGAAATATTTTTTATTTTCATCACCTTGTAGTCATTAGTAAATCTCTGCATGACCTATATATGGGTTTTCACTTCATTAAACTGTATTTTCTTTTGAGATGTGTCACAATATCTTTTCATTTTTATGAGTTATTGAGGTTAATATTTAGTATATGGTTATTACTTTAATCTTTCTGAACTAGCCTTTATTACAATATTAATTACAATTTTAACCAATATTTACTTGTATGAAAAAACCAGAAACTGCAATTTTTAATTCAAACTACTGATATGGTTTCTGCCTTATGAAAACTGCCAATTAGTTACACATACTCCAAATTTCCCTAAACCTTTAATCAATCCTATTACATCATCTAACTTGCCCCATATTTTGTAGTTATGGCTTGTAAGTTCATATTAGAACATGTTTTAATCTTTTCCATGATGGATAGTTTTTCCCCCTATATAATGAGAAAACTGCATTAAAAATTCTTAAATAAAGCATACCTAGTTGCTAATAATACATAAGCACTTTGTAAAATTTCAATTTACATAAGGTTTTATTAAACATGTATCAGTTAGAGTAGACTTTAGGTACCCCTTATATCAGGGCTTAATTTCTAAGGTTAGAAGTGCCGGAGCCCTATGGAAGACCATCAATAAAGAGGAACAAGAGTAAATAAATAAATAAAATGATTATTAAACTCATTAATAATTTTAAAATTAAATAGTTAATTATTATCAAATTAATTAATAGCTATTCAATATTATTCAATTAATGTTTATAAATTGTTATTTAATCAATAATTATTATTATATAGTAATTAATTAATTACAATTTAATTGAAAATTATTAGATAATTAATTTTTATTTATTGAAATAAAAGATTGAAGTAATTAAATAATTAAAATTAAATAAAATGTAAAAAAAGAAATTGAAATTTAATAAGCGAGTTTTAATATAATTTTATTGTTAAAATAAAATTTTTGAAATAAAATTTCTACTGAAATTGTTATTCAATTACATAAAAGAAGTGCTGCAGCCTTCTCAGGGCTCCGGTACCTTCTGGCTAGAATGCAGCTCCGGTGCAGCATTCAGGGCTGCGGTGCACCCCGGCTAGAATTATGGTTTATTACAAAAACTAAGAAGCACCGGAGGCGAGATGCCATGGGCTCCGGCCCAATTTAAGCTCTTATCAGAGGGAGAAAAGTTTGTTTGTCATCACAAAAATTAAATATACTTAAAGTATAGCTGATGAAAATTCCAGGGCGAAACAGAATGAAGGTATGAGTGGGTGGAAACAAAAAATGAGAGGAATCTTGGTGAGGAAGGACATTCTCTTTAATCGCGGCTCTTTGCTGATATAATTATAGCCATCAAGCAGACGTGTGTCAGGGGTAAAATGAGTCCTGAATCTGACTCCTAAGGATGAATGTAAAGTTGTTGTTTAAGCTTTTCCCCACATTAGTGGGAAGACGATGTATAGGACATGTTTGAGCAGTTTATCTCAGTATTTCACTCTTACTGTACTCGCTGTCACTTAACGCACATTTAAGAACACACATTTCATTCCTGCGAGGATAACTAAGTGTAAGCATCGATAACAATGCACTAGATACAATGGCATGGCGAGAAATTTACGCTTTCCTAAGCAAATTCCATCAAATTTATTGCCCTTTTTAAAGGGAAAGGTTTCCGCATGTGAGTGAGGGGACTTTACTTGAACGTCTCATGTTCTCATGAGTTTGTATTTCTAGGGAAATAGAGTATTGCAAGGTCTGCTTATTGTTAAACTAAAACGATAGGAATTCTAATTTTTTTCCCTTTAAATTGTAGTTCAGTTTTATAAAAAGAAGTATCACATCTCATCTTATTTAGGGCTCCGGCACAATTTAAGCACTGCCTTTTATTATGGTGAAGATGTTCTTTTATTTATGGTAGCTTGAGTAGTTGAATGTTATGGAAACCCTATTGTGACGTAATCGGGTGCATGATTCTGGGAAATTTTGAATCATACGAATATTTGTAACGTTTTTGTGGTGAGTGTTGGTTTGATTGTTTAGATGGTAGAATGGTTGAATGTAGTAAGATTAATTTGAAGTTTCTGTACGTTTTGGAGCGAAAGGGGAAAAGAACATTAGTTGAGTGGTGGTAAATCAAGGTTTACTTAGTAGCTCTCCTGTATGTAGGAAGGATATGCATCTAGTCGAACATAAAAACCGTTTAGATGGATTTGAATGGGTTTGTAGAAAGAAAGGTTCAGATGGTCACTATGTGAAGCATTCGATCAAAAAGGGCACCTGGCTTGGAAAAAAGTCATTTGAGTATGATTGATATTTTGATTTTTACGTGGCTCTGGGTACATGAAGCGAACTCGAAAATTATTAAGATGGAAGTGTGGTGAAGAGAGATTTTCAAAAAAAGTGTCATCGACAGTCGGAAACTATACAGGATATTTTTTACTCTTATTTTTGTGATGTTATGTGGCAACGCCGATATACAGATTTGAGTTCAGATAATTTTAGGAAGTTTTTGGATGCTGTTAAGGAATTTTGTGAGCCACAGAAGGAACTTCTAAACAGGGTACGTGAATATTTGCTTTTGGTAGTGCTTAAATGTATAACATGTTTTTCCTTTTTTATGTTATTTTATTGAAATTATGTATTTTTTTGCCTATATTGTAGAATTGGGTGCTCCTTTGACTTTTTAAGTGAAAATATATCGATGCATACATAGACAAAGTAAAAGACAATGAAAGTTTGTGGAATTCTGGGATTTTTTTTAAAGTGAAAATAGGTCGACGTGTACATGGCTAAAGTCAAAGGAGTGCACAATGCTATTTTTGTGCAATTTGGGGAATTTTTTTAAAGTTAAAATAGGTCGATGCGTACATGGATACCGAGTTTGTGCAATTGTTTGTCTTGTTATTTTGACTTTGTATAGCGGTGATTTTTGGTGCAAAAGTCGCCGTTTCACAAGCCAAAATAACGAGTCAAAGAATTGCACAAACTCGGTATCCATGTACCACCAAAAATCGCCAAAGGGTACCCTAAACTATACTTTTACCCATGTATCATGTAAGTCATATTTTAATTAAAGAAAGATCTTTTTCCCAACATAATTAAGAGAAAATTTTCTTACACAGTATCTTGAGGCTTTTTTTCAGATGAGAGTGGGATAAATAATCCAGCAGACAAGTTGCCTGTCTTATATTTAATAACTGGCACTGGTGTTGAGGTCAGAATGTTAGAACTAGCACATCTTTTTCTTTTTATGCCTTGGAATATTGTTTTCTTCTTGCAAGAGAAGCAACTATAAATCTGTAATAAATTTAATATAATAATTATTCAAATCAGCATGCTAAATTCTAATAAAAATTAGTGACAAATCAAAATCTGCTCTATTCAGGAATATGAATAAAATCAATTAAGAACAAAATTCCTCAATTTTACAATAATGATACAATAACAATTTCTTACATTAGTAAGTCAAACTTATAACTACATGGAAGAGAAATAATGCAATGTGAGATTAAGTTGAAGTTTTGTGTAATAGCAGCTGTAAAATAAAATCTTAATTAAACCTTAATTGGCAAACTGACTGAAAACCAACCCACTTTCTACATAACTCTATTTCAAACATCAGTTTTGCGCATTTTAATTACTTCTTACACCATTTAATGACTGGGAATTCTCCTCAAAAATAAATAAACCACAATACTTTTAGAACCGGTAGCTGGGAATTGCAGAAGCAATTTCTCACATGAATGCCTTCCTTTTCCCCTATGGCTTGCACCATCAAAATGTCCATCATTAAATATACAGGTATATTCTTATGCCATTTAATGAATGAGAGTTCTCCTCAAAAATAAATAAACCACAATACTTAGAACCAGTAGCTGGGAACTGAAGAAGCAATTTCCAACATGAATGCCTTCCTTTTTCCCTATGGCTTGCATCACCAAAACATCCATCATCAATATATAGGTGTATTTTGTGATCACTTTCACATATTCCATTATAAAGTAAAATACCTTTTTCTTCGAAGAATACTATTATGACTCAGAATTATCTTCAGCCAAACCTAGCAATATTTAAGTAATTTATGATAGTGCAGAAAAAATGGAAAAATTTGAAATCATATTCACAGAAACTGCAGAAATAATATAAAAGAGCATTAAAAATGAAATGAAAGAACTAAGGGTAAGAGAAAGATGCAATATGCAAGAAATAAATAAATGTAGTTTCGCTATGTTTAACATTTTCCTGCTAATGTTTTTGTTACTTCAATGTATTTTTCTAGTTGGTGCTTTATTCACATTTCAAAAATCATGCTTGATGATTTTCTTTCACAACTGCCACTATAATACCGAAATACTGATTAGACAAACAAATACCATATATACAAGTTGAAATTAAAAATAAATAAATTTTTTTTTTTTTAAAAAAAATCGTGTAATATGCAAACATGTTACGACGAGAGCAGAAATGTTGCCAACCAAGTAAAAGGCATGGAATATCATCAATTAAATCTCTGTAAAGTAAAATACAATGATGATAGTTTACTATATTTGAAGTAGCACACTTTTCTCATTCATTTGTTGTCTTGTATGCGATTTGTGGTATCTTTGTCATTTTATTTTTTTGTTTGAAGGATGAGAGGGTAGAGAAATTCTTATTTGGCAAATTTCCAACTACAGATGATGACATTTGCTGAAAAGTTTTACAACAGTATGACTACATGGCATTTCTTCTAACTAAAAAACAAGTTCAAGAACGGGAAAAAAATGTCTTGAATGCCAAAAGTGTAGCATGTGGTCAATTTCCATTAGCCAGCCACAAATTCTGCCAAAATCAGATTTTTCATTTTGATGACAATACAACAATGTAAACAATTCTGAAAATAAAACAACTCATTTTTAAAAAATAAATAAATCATTCAAATGCAAATAATTTTTTTCATAAACTTCAGAAATATAAGCCAAAAAAACAAAGAAGAGATAAACTAAAAGCTTTTTGCCTGCATCTAGCTAATGGAAAAGTACCTACCTTTTTTATGAGATAAGTTGGATCCATATATAAGCAAACCTCCATAATTTAGCTTTAGAAAAAGTTCTAAAAGTACTTGATTTATCTATGGAAATATATAGAAACCTTAGACTGATAGATTTTAAACAAAATTCAATCAGCTACAAAAAGTATAAATTCACAGCTGCCAACTTTGAAACATGAAAAACTGGTATGCTCTTGAACCAAAAACCAGGAGTTCTCAAAAGGTTTCTGCACTGCATGGCAGCACCATTTTAAAAGTACTCAAAATTAATTTTCATTTGTTTTATAATGTATGATTCAGTTTACTGAACTATTAATTATATGATTCTAACATAAGATATAATATTTAGTAACATATTCTAAATTTTATGTTCTTTTGGTAATTTCATTGTAATTTTTTTTTACACTTCAATATTGAAAAAATTTTGAGTTGGGAAGGAAAGCTTATAAAAGTGCTCTTTCAGTTTGGTCAAATCACAATGACAAGGAATACTATAAGTTTCACAATAATTAAAATCAGACAGGTCTTTCACAGAACCAAAAATGTTATTGACAAATGAGAAAATAACCTTAAAGTTGAACTTTTGGAGAAAATGAACAATTTTGCTTCCAATAATTAAATTTGTTAAATCTTCTTTATTGCCATCGAAAAGAGTGGAAATGTCGCAAACACACACACATAAAAAGATCTATTCACTTGGAGAAAAATGCAAAATTTAAAGAGAATGCTTCAAATGATTAACTCCACACTATGAATTTTATAAAGATTTATGCAGGGAAAAAAACAAGTACACTAATAACTATGCCTTTAAAAAAAAGCAGACAAGGAAACTCTTAAATACTTCTAAAGATGACAATATTTTGTAACAACAAAACTGTTCTCCTTTAATTGCACTTTTGAAACTCTTAATGAAAATAGTAATTTTTTTTTTTTTTTTTTACTTCTTTTTGAAAGACACTTCTATTTTCATAATCTAGCATATGTTTTGCAAGACTCTAAAAGCCTATAGATGTAAACCTGTATATTGTTTTAGGAAACTAAAAAAATGGTCCCCCTTTATATTATTATACAATCGTTTAAATACAGTTACACATAAAGCATGCATGATCATTTCAATCTTTTATAGACCTCGATTTCTTACTATTACTTAGAAAAATTTTTAATTAGAAAAATATACATACTATTTTACTTGTAGCCTCTTTAAACTTTCTCAGTTTTCGCTTTTGATGATTATTAAGCTTCCATGGACTATCTCTTTCATACTGTAGAAGTTTTCTAATATGGCGATTTGGGAAGCTAGGTGCCCGAATGCGAACCCTGTGATTTTCTGGAGACCATAAGCTTCCACAATGATTGCAGAACAGGAAACTTCTTTTTGTTTTTTTATGAAACACTAAAAAAAAGGAAGAAAGAAAAAGGAGAAAAAAGAAAAAATCACAAACATGCAAGTTTCATATATATCACTACTTTTCTGCTATTCAGAATGCAACTGTGAATTTATATAAACCAAGTTTAAGCAATTTTTCACTGTTTTAATAAGTTTTTAAATTTTTCCTTTGCTCTTTTAAAATTTGAGGAGTTAGGAGGAAGATGCTAGGCTTGTTTAATCCCTTTGAAAGAAAAAGGCATCATCAGAGCACCTTCTGACTCAGCAAAAACATTTTTACCTTTGAAAATAAGATAAAAAAAACTACTTGCTGAAATCATGATTGAATTTTTTCTGAAATAGTTACAATTATACTTCCTTGCATCTTGAATCTTGCCAGGTCTTACAGTCCATCCACTATTAGTCTCTAGACCCCAATGCTGGAACTGCTGCCTATGTCATCAGCTAATGTTGAAAACAGTCCTCATTTTCATCACTGTACCTTGCAAAGTCATAAAGTCACCATTATGCCTTGCAAATCCCTTGTGTGAGTACTTTGTTAGTATGATGAAAACAACCACTATACAGCCAAATGCATTTTGAAATTTGGGGGAGCTTAGTTTTTGAATGTCTTGACAAAAAGAACTATTTATTTAATAAATAATTTTAAAATATTCAGAACATTTCACTAAAAAGCTAAGGAGAAAAATACGCGAGTAAACATGATATGAAATGTTAAAATAAGTTCTAAATTAGAAGAATTCTGAACAAAAATGCAGAAAATATTCAGAAAAGCATATATAATATTCTTATATATATATATATATGCATTCTGTGTATATACAGTACAAATAATCCGGACATCCATTATCCGGAATGATCTATAATCCGGACCTCAAAGCCACAAACTTACACATGCGCGTAAAGACAGTAAAGCGTTTACCCATGCACACTTCCGATGGAAAAACCCCTAATCCAGAATCACGGAAGTCCGGATTACGGACTTTGTACTGTATTTAACATTCGTGAAACTACTTTTATACACGTCCTCGGTTGGGGAGAAACTCTACGGCGCCATATTACTACCTAAATTTTTTGTCTACATTTTTGAACTTTAGGCTTAAAATGTTGCAAAAACCATGTTTTTAACACATAATTTACACCAAAAATCCGAAATAAAAAAAATTTTAGATAGCAAAATTATAAAGTTTCGGCTGATCTTTGGAATATGGTAACTGGTAGTTTGGCGACATTTTGGAGGCGATAAAGGTTACTACCTAGGACTTTGGTAATAATGTGAGAAGCACTCAGTTCCGATTACGCATTATTTTGTGTGAGGGAAATGAGAGATCATGAGATATGTCATGTGACATTAATGGACGAATTACAGTTGTTTAATCGGAAAAAGGGGGAAATCTGGAAATTTCGTATTTAGCTATATTCTGTGTTGTGTAAAACGTGACATTAATGGATGAATTACAGTTCTTTAATCGGAAAAGGGGTTAATTTGGAAAAGCTGAATTGTGTGTTGTGTGAAATAGTGTTGATTAATTTTCGGATTGCATGGCGCTATGTAAAGTGAATTCTAAATTTTTAATGTGTTTATCTGATAATAATAATAAGTTGAGATTGTGTGAAAGGAAGGATATTACAGTTAAGTTTAAATGGTGGTGCAAGAAATATGGTGAAAATGGACATTTTGTGAAAAGGAGTGTAAGGAAGGGTACGTGGTTTGCTGAAAGTAGTTTGAGTATAGGTGAAATTTTATTAATTTCTTATTACTTGGTGAATAGACTTCCAGCTGACTACTGGATTTAGGATTTAGAAATTAGCAGTAGTACTGCAGCCATGTAATGAAGATTCTAAAGAAGATTAGGTAAGTTAGTATTTTTAATCATTTGAGGATATTATTTTTATGCATTGTTCTAAATGTAAGGAGTAAATAAATTAATGTGGTATTATCGGAAAATTGTTATTAGCAATGATTTAGTTTAAAGTAATTAGGATTGTAATCTAATTTTTATTAATTTAATGTATGTGCTTATTTATATTTTAAGTAGTGTTTTTTAATTTAATTATATTTTAATTTAATGATCGTGATTTTGTGAGTTATATGTTTGTAGTATTTTGGAATACGTTTGAGTAGTATACGTTGAGTATTTTCATGCATTTTCGTGAAATTTTTCTAATTTATGAGAAAAAAGCAGTGTACATGGATATAGTGAAGAGTGTGCGCAATGCCATTTTTGTGCAATTCTGGGATGTTTTTTTAAGTAAAAATAAGTCGACGTGTACATGGTTTAGTGATATTTTAATTAAATGATAGTTATTTTGTGAATTTTATGTTTGTAGGAATTTGGTATACGTTTCAGTTGAAGTAAACGTGTATGGAAATAGTTTAAATATTTGACACTAAGTATTTGTAACTATTTTTAATGTTTGCGTATAAATTCATTAGTGATGTTTATAATATAATAGATAATTTAGAGGTAAAAGCTTTTGGATATTTTATTTAATTTATATGTGGAAATGTTCATCCTCGGAAAGGGTATGTACTTTTTCGCGATCAGGTTATTTCATATATGTGCTTTTTATCGAGTTATTAGAAGATTAAGAAAATTTTCCTGCATTTTCATGCAAATTTTTGTAATTTATGAGAAAATAGCAGTGTAGATGGATAAAGTTAAGAGTGTGTGCAATGCCATTTTTGTGCAATTCTGGGATGTTTTTTTAAGTAAAAATAAGTCGACGTGTAAATGGTTTATGTGTATGTGCTATTCTGAAAAACGCACAAGGAGTTTGCGATTCTGCACTTTTTCCCAATTTTGCAGTTAATATTTGTCATGATTAAGTAGTTTTGTTACATAAAATTTCTAGCATCAGTGTAATTCAGCTAGTAGATTGTTGGAAAAAGTGTTGAGTAAATAAAAAGAAAAGAAACATGTCTTTACTTCGTGAAGACAAAATGGCGGCGGAAAAAAAAATAGAGGGTTGCTGTAGCAGAGTTGGTCACCAAATTTTCGCCAAAAAATTGCCAAGTTACCATAATCCAAAGATCAACCAAAGTTTCTAACCCAAAATATTTGACAAGAATCCATATACACAGCAATCTGAAAAAAAAAAAAAAAACAGAGAATTGCACAATCTATGTAGTGTAGAAATCTACAAATTATGCACACATTGCTAAAATAAACTAACATAACAACAATAAATTTCAAACAATACCATGTCAGCGCTCTGTTTTAACTTTAAAAAAAAAAAAAAAATCAGCAAATTGCACAATCTAAGCATCTAGCAAAAAAAAAAAAAAAAAAAAAAAAAAAAAAAACCTAAATAACTAAAATAAATTACATACAATTCAAAAAACAATAATAACGATAGAAATTCATAGCAAAAAAACAATGAACATTGCATTTTACAAAATAAGCACAACAATAAAATAAAATGCACTTACCATTGCGAATGCTTCTTCAAACAGCAGAAATATCAATTTCCACCACTTTACATCCCTCCACGCTATCTTCTGAGACACAGAACATACAAAGTCCAGCATACATTCGTGAAAAAATCCACATAAACAAAAGACTCGTTAAGAACTTCAACATACCAATACTTTTTAATGGTAAATTTAGCTTGCACACAATCCAAAATACGCGACTAAAATTTTACCACCACATCTTTCATTGCAACATAAGCCATTTCAAAATGCCCACCAAACCAACCACTACAGCAAAATCCAGTTTCCATGTCAAAAGGTTTGCCATACAAAAAACATCATGCCAAAATCATCGCAGAACACACAATCGTGCCAAGTACCAGCGCAGAATACATATCGCCACATTTGGTGACTTAAGAACGTATATAAGAGTAGCACCCTATTCATATATCACTTTTCAAGAAATTAATATATATGTACATACAATACACTTAAATAAACTGTAAAATAAATTTAAAAAGCTATGAAGCATAATGCATAACAAAATACTTACATGGAATGAATAAGAAAGGTTGTAAATATTTATATTAGCTTCATAAAAGATGGAACTTATTTAACGTAGGTAGCTATCTATACCTAAGATTACTGTTGGTCATATTCCTTTTATTATTGCCTTAGAAGGTGAATTTTTTCTAGTTAACATGATAATTTTAACTTTCTGATTTTGTTCAAGTGAAAACAGATCGATGTGTACATGGAGAAAGTGAAATTAGTTCACAATGCCTAGTTTGTGAAATTCTCTGATGTTTTTTCCAGTTAAAATAGGTCCATGTGTACATGAATAAAGTTAAATTATTGCACAATGCCAAGTTTGTGCAATTCTTTGATTTTTTATTTTAATGTTAAAATAGGCCTATGTGTACATGAACACTGAGTTGTGTAAGTATTTGCTTTCTTGTTTTGATTTTCTGTAGGGAGCGGAAGGATCGGAACCATCTTGAAATTGATGCCGATCTTGACGTGAAAAAATCAACAATTCGTCAAGCGGAATCGTAGAGTAAAGATTAACCTACAGTATCACATAAAGACTAGATTCGATGATTACGAGCCAATGCAAGGTTTAATACTGTTATCTTTAAAAACATACAGACTTTTGAAAAAAAAACAACCTAAATGGTTACAAAAAAAAAAAAAAAAAAAAAAAAAAAAAAAAAAGGTTAAAAATTTCAATTTTCTTTATAAAATTAAACAGACTATATAAAATTAAATAATTAGTTGATGAGCAGTGAACGAAAATCAACCTAATTTATTACCACAGTATATTTAATACTTACGATCAGGATCATGGATTAGTTTCCTTTCCATAGAGAACCTAATACAAGTAAATAAATATACATTATTTCATACACTGCACTGAAATATACAAAACAGAATAAAATCCTAGTATACCGTACGGCCTAGGCGCAATTTTGAAAATTGTCGCCAACACCAAAATAACGCATTTACAGCTCATCATAAATACTGCGTTTACTCCGCAACATAATATCGCCAAATCCCATGTGGACCGTATACTAGGATTAAAACCAAAACAGTACTCTGCTGTATACTAACATATAAAATCTCGACGCTGCTGGACATGTCGTGGAAAGTAGATTTCCAATGTTCCATAAATGTTTTGCTGTCAACTCGTCAACCAACTTCTCCTTTTCCATCTTGAATAAAATTCAACTCTTCACAAAGGAAATGCTGATTTTCTATTCATGAAGAAACAACTAACTAACACCGCTCAAAACAGAAGCACATTATTTTGAAAATAAATACACAGCTAACTTGAAATTAATTTATATCTGTTTTGCATTTTCTACGTCTTTCAGCCTTCAGCAGTAAACTACCTGACAGACAGACAAACAGTAGACATCTTGTTTTGCATCTAGTAAGTCTTTCTGCCCGAAGAGCGAAAAATCAAGCATAGGTGTTAGAACCCAGCCTCAGTTGTTTATTTTTCTTTTCATAGTTTGTCTCTGTAAGAATGGCAACCATCTGATTTTTGTTGTAGTTTGTTGCAGTTCTATGGATTTTGAAAATAAATATGACGCTGTAGAATTTTATATGTAAAGTTATTTTTATTTTAAGTTTATTAGGAGAAAGGAGAACGGTTAGTTCTTGCAAATCTCGAACAATTTTGGTGACCCGGACGTGATCGGTAAAACAAGTTAAGGTAATTTTATTGGTTTTATCGAATTAAATTCTATTTGACTTTAGTGAATTAATTTTTATTGAAATTGAATCGTTAATTGAGAAACGAAAACATGTCAGAGCGTCGTTTACGAGAACAATTAATGCAATTTTGCAGGAATTAGAAAAGGAAATTCCTGATGAAGAGTTTATAAAAACGAAACTTGTTACTTTAGAACGTTTATCTGTTGAACTGCATTTGATACTCAAATATTAAATTCAGAATTTTCTTCAAATGATCAGTTTGAAAATGAATGGGCGAAAGTTGAAGAATACAAAGAAAAATTAGATTTAATACGAGTAAAAACGGAATTATTCTTCATTCGCCAAATGATACAATCTACTAGCAGTATTCCGCCGAATTCGAACAAACGGAAACTGAAATTACCTAAAATTGAGTTAAAACAATTCGGTGGCGAAATTAAAGATTGGCTACCGTTTTGGGGGCAATTTCGGCGAATACATGAAGATAAAGAAATTCAAAACGAGGATAAGATGCATTATCTCGTTCAAGCGTACGTACCCGGTACGAGACCACGGGATATTGTAAACAGCTTCCCTGCAACTGCCGAAAATTATGAAAAAGTTATAGAAAGCTTAAAAAATAGGTTCGGTAGGGAAGAATTGTTGGTGGAATTCTATATTCGGGAATTATTAGGTTTGATTATTAAAAATGTCACTGATCAAAAGGGAAAATGCAGTATATCAGAATTGTATGACAAGTTAGAGTCGTATTTACGTTCGTCGGAGTCAATAGGAATGACAAGCGATAACTACGCTGCAATGCTCTTTCCACTCGTGGAATCTTGCATTCCCGAGGAAATTTTACGAGTTTGGCTTAGAAATTATGCAACAATAATTACAGCAGAAAATTCTTACTCTGATAAATTGAAACAATTATTATTGTTTTTAAAGAATGAAGTGGAAGGAGAGCAGAGAATTTCTTTGGCAAAAGCTGGATTTAAATTAATTGATTCGGGTGCCAAGAGACAAAGTAGAAAAGATAAAATGTACCAGAGTGAACATTTCGTGTCTACAGCAAATGATTTATTCTCAGGCCAAAATAAAGCAACCAATTACAGTGAGAAGAATTCTTGCATATTTTGTGAAAAATTTCATGAAAGTCTAGATTGCTTTGTTGCTCAGAAGCAGAGTCGTGGCTAGGGTTTTCAGCGCACAGGGCCAACTGAAGATTTCGCGCCCCCTACTGCTTGCCAAGGATGGAAAACATTTAATTCTAAAATGGCGTACCATCAGTTTGGCGCCCCTTGGATTCTGCGCCCGGGGACAGATGCCCCCCTTGCCCCCCTCTAGCTACGCCCCTGCTCAGAAGGTGCCTCTGAGTCAAAAGAATGATGAAATTAAGAAGAAGGGTTGCTTCTTCTGCTTCAAAATTGGACACAGGGCCGAGCAATGCAAGACAAATGTACGATGTTTGATATGCTCGAAAAGACATTGGGATGTCATGTGTCCGTATTTGCCCGCCAATCAAAAGAGCATTGATGTTGAAAAGAATAAAGAAGAGGAAACACAAAATGTATCACTTGCGAGCACTAATTTCCTAGATGAAGTGTTTCTTCAAACACTATTAATTAATATAGACGCAAACAAAAAGCAGAAGACAGTAAGGGCACTTATCGATACAGGATCGCAACGTTCATACATATTAAAGGAGACTGCTGTAGACATAGGGTGCCACGCAATTGGATCTGAATCTTTAATCCATGCACTTTTTGGAGGAGTAACAACAAAGAGAGAAATTCACAAACGCTATGAAGTGAACGTTAGAAGCCTAAGAGGTGATTTTTCTAGACGACTAATCTTGTTGGAACAGTGGAAGATTTGTGGACCAGTAGTCAGTTTACAGCCTGGACCATGGATAGAAGAACTAAGTCAGAAGAATATCCATGCATCTGATGTAGGAAAAAAGGATTTGAAAATAGAAGTTCTTATTGGAGCTGACGTCACAGGTGTTCTGTTAACCGGAAAAATTCAGAAATTAGAAAATGGGCTGACAGCTGTGGAATCATTACTTGGATGGACAATCATGGGAAAGATAAAAGATAACGTTTCAGAAAGAAACTCCTTGTCCATGTCTTCAACCGTAACGTCAATGTTGACTCACAGCAGTGACATAGAAAACTTATGGAAGCTAGTAGCACTGGGAATTACAGATGCCAAAGAAAGTAAAACTGACTCAGAGTTAGAAGAAGCAGTGTGTGATCACTTTCACAAGACTCTGAAGAGGGTGGATGATCTCTATGAAGTCAGTTTACCTTGGATCAACGATAAAGAAGCTTTACCAAGTAACAGAGAAGTTGCTGAAAAGCGATTGATTTCCACGACAAAGAAGCTCATGTTGAAAGATAAGTTTGAGACATACAATGCAGTGTTCGAAGAATGGCTCGAATCCGGAGTAATAGCAGAAGTAACAGAAGAAGAGGAACGAGTTAAAAATCATTATCTTTCCCACAGACCGGTCCTCAAAGATAACTGTACAACAGCAGTAAGGCCTGTATTTTACGCTTCGTGCAAGCAAAAAGATTTCCTCTCACTTAATGATTGTTTAGCAAAAGGTCAAAATTTAATTGACTTAATACCTAGATTGCTTCTTGAATTTAGGCAAGGTAAAATAGGGATTATCTCAGATATTAAAAGAGATTTTATTCAAATATCTGTTCAAAGATCTGATCGTGATTTCCTAAGATTCCTATGGTGGAAAAACTCGGAACAAAAGGAAATAAGAAAATTTCGCCATTGCAGAGTAGTCTTCGGACTAAAAAGCAGGCCATTTCTTTTAGGAGCAGTGATCAATTCTCATTTAGAGCAATGTGAACGTTCTTTGAAGGAAGTGGCTACAAAATTGAAAAATTCCTTCTATGTTGACAACTGTGTCACTTCAGTGAATTCGAATGAAGAAGCAGAATACTTTATTGCAAAACCAACTCAGTTAATGGCAAGTGCTAACTTTGAATTAGGGTGTGCACGAACTGAACAGTGGAATTACAATGAGCGTGGGGTTCTTTTACAACATATTTAATTAACTATCTTCTGCAGCCTACTCCCTGGCGCAGCAGATGTAATTAGTAGGCCGCAGATCAATTCAGAAATTTGAGAGCGTCAATCAAGCCAAACGTCAATTTCGACGGAAAAAATTCGGTGGCGATATTTCTAGAAAAGCCTAGAAATCACTTTCAGCTCTACCCTGTGCCTGAAAGACAAAAAGTTGCCATCGCCACATCTGCACTAAGAGGACAGGCCGCGCTATGGTGGGAAGAATATAGGCAAATTTTTATTAGGGGAATTTGGAGGCCAGACATATACATTTGAAAATTTCAAAAAATCGTTATTAAAGGCCTTCCCCATAGTGAAAGATCGAGCAAGGCTAGAAGCCGAACTATATAGTTTCTATCAACGGGATATAGAAGAGTTGACGGACTTTATTCTGCGAAAAATTAAGCTGACGGATATGCTGTATGGGAAGAAACCCGACGCGGAGATTATTGAAATAATCTTACCAAGATTGTTACCTGCTGTTCAAGACTACTTCGAAATTAGAAACCCAAGCACATTGCAGGAGCTCTTCGAATTGGCGGTGAAGTTTCAAAATCGCAGAATAGCGGAAAAAGCTAGAGGGGCATCGTATTCTCAAAGTATCCGAAGGCAATCTTCAAATGAGCAGACCAGAAATGCAAACCGCTCTTATGGGGGAAAGAGCTATCAAGCTAACTCATCGAACCTCGAAGGTCAAGGCCCAAAAAGGAAAATTCGAAAAACAAACGTCCGCGTACCCAGAAGGCAGAAGTTGAAAGGAAAGCTTTAAACGAGTAGAGGGGCCTGTGAAAGAAAGCGAGGGTCCAGACCCCGGAAGTTTTAAAAAAACCCTCAAAAAGACATTTAAATACGGTCATCGTAAAGAACTCACATCTACCAATTATACAAGTCCTGGTTGGCGATGTACCAGTAGAAGCCCTCATCGATACAGGAGCAGAAGGTAATTTTATGAGTGATACATTTCTTCAAAAAGAATTTTTATAGGTTACGATTATTTAAAAAAACAAAAAACACAGAAATTATAGCGGCGCAAGGAAAAACCTGTCACTGCATCGGGAAATTATCATTAAACATACAGGTAAAAGAGGAAAGCCTCAAAGTATTAATTTTTGTAGTAAAAATCTGCAAAATCCTCTTATTTTAGGTATGGAGTTTTTAAGGGCCGCGAGGGCCAAATTGAATTTTCAGGACAGTTCTATTGTGCTGGAGATGGACCAGAGGGTGGTGGAACCAGTGGAACAACCGCAAGTTGACCTTAGCCATTTGAATGACCATGAAAGTCAAGCCATCCAGCAAGTGGTGAGTAATTTTTCAAACTAGAAAAAAGGCCTGGTAGCTGTCAAATAGTTACGCATGAGATACAGTTAACTGCCGAAAAACCTTGTAGGACTAAACCGTATCGTTATGATAAACAAAAAGACCTAATCATCGAAGAACATATTCAGGAAATGTTAAAGAACAAAATAATAACGCCCATAAATAGTGAGTACGCGAGTCCAGTCGTACTATGTAGGAAAAAGAACGAGTTTCCTCCTTCGGATAAAAGGGCTTGGAGGTTTGCTATCGATTAC